GCTGAGCTGAAGCCTTGATTTCTACTATTATCAGTGCTCGATGTTTCGCCAGCCCCACACCTGTTATTTCTGCCCAAGCCTGGGGGAAGGTCTGAATTCAATAAGTCGTTTCAGGGGACCACTCAATAGGTTTAGGGGGAGGGTCCCACAAGGAGAACAAGCGATGTTCATCCTCGAGAGACACAGTCAAGACTTGGAGGGGCTGTCCTCGTCCATCCATCACTTTGATTCCATCTGGCTCAAAGTGAATGTGAGCCCTCACCTTAGTTAGCAGATCATGTCCCAGAAGAGGGCATTCAGGAATGACCAAAAAGGAATGGGTCACCTGATGCCGGCCCAAATCCACCTGACACTTGCTAGTCCATTGATATGCCTTGGATCCAGTGGCTCCTTGCACGAGACTAATTTTCTGAGACAGTGGCCCAGTAGGTTTATTTAGAACTGAATATTGAGCCCCTGTGTCCACCATGCATCTCACAGCTTTCCCTCCACATATATGGTTACCCAAGACTCGGGGAGGGGTTCCAAGTCCCGTCCCCTCTAGTCATTGTCCAATTCAGTTAACAGGACCTGGGTGTCATTGTTGGGCCTGCTATTTGGCCTCAAGCGACACTGGAGCTTGGGACATTCTCTCTTCCAGTGTCCATATTCCTTATAATAGGCACACTGTCCCTGGCCTAACCGGGGCTGATCTCTTCGGGGATGGGGGGGGGCCAGTCCAGAGCCCGGTCCAGCCAAACCTTGGATCCCTGCTAGCAATATTTTAGCCATTTCCTTCTGCTGTTTCTTGTTTTCCTTACTCTGGTGTTCCCTGTTCTCCCTCCAAATCCTTTCTTGTAGTTCCTGATTTTCTTTCCTGATTCTATCCTCTCACTCTTCCAGGGTTTCTCAGGTGTTAAAAACTTTTCGGCTACTTTCATCAGATCCCGGATAGTCATTTCCCCAAGTCCTTTCTGCTTATATAGTTTCTTCCTAATATCAGGGGCAGCCTGATTTATGAAGGACATTATCACAGCTGACTGATTCACCTCTGCTAGTGGACCTAGGGGGGTATACTGTCTGTATGCATCATAAAGGTGCTCAAGGAATGTGGCCGGGCTTTCATTCTCCCCCTGCACTATCATCTTTACCTTAGCCACATTGGTAGGGCGGTGAGCTGCCACCCGGAGGCCTGCCATAAGAGTCTGGTGGTAGACCTGGAGACACTCCCTACCTTCTGCGTTCCCATAGTCCCAATTGGGTCTGTTTAAGGGAAAACAGTCATCAATCAGGTTCAGCAGGGTAGTCGGTTGTCCGTTGTCACCGGGGACATTCTTTCTGTCTTCAGTGAGAATCCGCTCCCGTTCCTCAGTGGTGAATAGAGTCTTAAGGAGCTGCTGACAGTCATCCCATGTAGGACTGTGAGTATGTAAAATGGACCTCGAACAGATCAGTTAGGCCTCTAGGATCCTCAGAAAAAGGAGGATTCTGGGCTTTCCAGTTGTACAGGTCACTACTTGAAAAGGGCCAATACTGATAGAGGCATCCCCCATCGGGACCAGCACCACCCAGGGCCCGCACCGGGAGGATGGGGGGGCAGTGGAAGTGGAGGAGGGCTCCTCCTCCAGAATTTCTTCTCGCTGCCTGCGGGGCCTGAGTCCCCGCGCCTGTCTGGAGAGCGGGGCAGGGGGTGCTGACGGGGAGGCTGATGAATGGGGAGGTTCAGGGGGGGCAGCTGCCTCTGGCTGGAGTGGCACGGCAGTGGCATATGGCTGGGGGCTTGCCTCACAATTTAAGTCTATCAAGGACAGATGGGAAGTCGGTTCTTCCTGCAGTATAGGCTTCTTAGGGGAATTAACAGGAGTGGGGGCGTTCCCCAAAATGGCCAGTATTGCAGGCCGGTCTGTAGGTGCCTCGTGGATAAATGGCCGCAACCAGGAAGGGGGGTCCTCTACTAAAGTCTGCCACATAAGGACGTAGGGATATTGATCAGGGTGTCCATGAAGACCAGGTTTATTAATGACATCGCAGACCTTCTTAATTGTGTCCAAGGAGAGGGTACCCTGAGGGGGCCAGCCTACATTAAAGGTTGGCCATTCCACTGAGCAAAGGGCATCAAACTTACCTTTCTTAATTTCCATGCCATAATTGTGTCCCTTAGCACGGATTTCTGAAAAAATGACTCAGAAGAAGGGTCTTAGGAGTTACCTGGGCCTGTCCCATGATGATCAGGAGAGAGGGACAGAGGAGACAGCAAAGAACAAGAGAGACAATTCCAGCAGACAAACAAATTTGCACAGGACTCTCCAACATACACAAGTACTGGCCAGTCAATCAGACTACTCTCACAGGCGCAATTCCATTCACACCAGACTCTGGATCCTTACCCAAAGACCGCCCAAACGGCGTCCACTGAGGACGTCGGCGCGGTTCCTGTTGGGGACGTCTCCCATGACTTCCAATAGTGAAGCCTCCAGGGCTGTAACCCTTTCCCTCCACTCAACGAGAATTCCCAACCAAATTTAGATGGGGACCCCAGGTCCCTCCAAACGGAGGTGGCCAATCCTCCTTCCGCGGTCTTTCCCAATTAAACCTCGGTATCGGAGGCCGTTTATTTCTCTCAGGGAGGGGCCGATCTTGGTGGAACCTCCAGCTGTTAGGGTAAGAGGCCGGCCACCTTCTGAGAGGACAAAGGACACTCGAGACAAAGGAAGTCACAAGGCGAGGTTTATTTTCTACCTAGCTAGGGTCCGAGCATCCACCTGAAGCAGCAGGTTTCAACAAGGACCCTGAAAGCAAAGTTTAAGCAGGTCTTACACTCTTTAAAGCATCAATCATCATCACATAGGAATTCCTCATGCCTCTGGGGTCACATTTTCTGATCTTGCCCACATCCTGGTGGTGGGGTAATATTATTTATTGGGAACTGGGGAAACACCAGAGGTTTACTTATCAGGTTACAAGGAATGTGTTCTCCCATAAATTAGGGGCTAGTAGTGGAATAGAAACCTAAGGTTTAGATAAGAACAGCAGGGGAGTCCTGTTTTGGAAAGTTTATTTACAAGTGGAGACAAAGAAAGGCAGGAATGGGTGCTTATCTCTGCATGGTGCCTTTCATCTCGGTCCCAAACTTTTGCATGGCTCTAATGGGCAATTCCTCACAGCTCTGTCCGAGGTTACAGCTTTTAACTGACAGTTTACCATGTTTTACAACCCTGTTTCAAGGCTATCTTCCTATTCACGAGGTTACCCAAGGGTCATGCCAGTTATAGCTGATTTTTAGGCTAGGTGGGCTGCAAGTTAAAGTACCCCAACACTACTAGACAAAGACCAGCCAGTGGCAACCCTCTATTGGCACCCCTCCCAGCTAAGGGAGAACTGTGGGGCTGTGGGAGCTCTGCTCTTTGCTCTTTCTCCCTCCCTCTCAATAAACTTTCCTGCTTTTGCTCACATTTGTTGCCTATGATTTTCATTCTTTGAAACTGTGAGACGAAGACCCTGGACCAAGACAGAGCAAATCGGTAACAATTTAATTGAAAAGTACATGGAGTTAACCTTGGACTCTCCAGAATGTAGACAAAAAGGGGGAAAATGTCAGTTTGATTAAAAAGCAGTGAATTGGCCAGCATACAATCTGGATACACCAAAAGTTTTAAGTTTTTCCCTTTTATAGTCCTGGTTAAATTTTCCTCACTGTCAATTTATTCCTTCCATTCCTATGGAAAAAAGGTGTTGCAATCATCTGTTTCCTGTCTTTAATTTGTGGGCCCCAAATTTGCTGAGTCAGTGCTCAGCAAAAGCAGTTTTTAAGCCCTCATTACAAGAGAAAAACATTACTATTGGACATTCCAACTAGGCCTCTGTTAAGATCAAAGGAGCCCACCAAGCAAGCATCACAGGACGCCTATAAGTCTGCCACTCACCTAAACTTAATCCCTGAGTTCAAACCCCAGTACTCCCTTCCCCCTACCCCAGCCTCCCCACAAAACAGAGTAAGCTGCACCTTAGGCATCTGATGTGTCTGGGACTGGTAATTTCACACAGGTGACTGCTTTAATTTAGCAAAGGAAAGACCCAGGTCATAGGCTGAGTCCTAGTGATCAAATGGATGTGGAACTGAGAATTCCTCAATAAATATCCAGCTCTAAATGCTGATACTGTCGTTCTCATTCTAGATACAACCAGCTTTCAGTCTACTGAAAGTTTACTACTCTCTTAATAAACTTTCTGGTATCAGTAGTAAAGTCTATACTTTCACAGAGAAGGAAACTAACTACAAAGGCTCCTAGAGGCCTTGGAGGATTGACCTTTTACAGCATTTTTACTGCGTGACTGGTCCTCAACTTTGGCTGCGCAATACACCACCTGGGGAGCTTTAAAACTACTGGTGCCCCAGACCAGACTAATTAAATTAGAAACTCGGGTGCCAAGGGAAACCACAGTACTTTTTAAAGCTGCCCCTTGCAGCCAAACAGGAACTACTGAATTAATAAAAAGTTCCCCTCTAAATGTCAAATGTTTTAATTAATTTAGATGGTAATTGTATTTGAACTCAGGGCTTCGCGCATGCAAGGCAGGCATTCTAAGGCTTGAGCATACCTCCAGCGCTGAACGTTTTATCTTTAATGTATAACAGTGTTCGGAAGTATCACCATTTTTTTCATTTTATACCTACATGTACCTATAAACAGTGTACCCTAAATAGGAAGTAAGGGCAACAGAACAGTTTACCCTCTTTTTAGCGGGAACTCCTTTCCAATGCAAAACGCCAGTATGAACACGTGGTCGTACTTCTCCCAACCTGGCTCCGCCCCTTAGTGCTTCACGACGCGCGTGCGCAATCCGCTCCCGGCGGGCGGGACCTCGGCCCCTCCCTCCCAGAGCCTTCAACGCAGTGGGGAGACCCCGCCCCTCCCCGGCGCCTTCGACCCTCCCTCTGGCCCCGCCCCGGCCCCGCCCCCGGAAGGTCCGTCCGGCCCTCGGGCGGCTCCACCTTCCCCCGCCCTAGTCTGCGGCCGGGTTGTGGAAGATGGAGGGCGTTCCTTCCGCGCCGCTCTCCCTCCGGCTGCTGCTGTTCGTGGCGCTGCCGGCCGCAGGGTGGCTGACAACCGGCGCCTCCAAGCCGCCGCCGTCCGGAGCCCCGCAGGTACGGCAGGGCAGGGCGGGTGCGGCTGGCAGTCCCTCGACTCGAACCCTTCGGGAGGCCGGGGTTGTTCCCACCGGCGCTTCCCATCTCTCGCTGGCCGCGGGTCACGGGTCCGGGACCCCCAAAGGAGGAATGGGGAGAAGCGCTCGGGAAATGCGGCGGCGTGAGGGGGAGGCGAAAGCGAGAGGGAGGCTCAGACCAGGGCCTGCGCCGACATCCTGCTGAGCCCCGGGCCACCACCTCGACAGTCTTAGCGCGTCCAAGCTGTCGCTCGTCCTGCGTGGGCTTTAACCGTCCAAAGTGCGCGATCGTCCCGGGCTTTTGTAATGGCGCCTTCCTGGGTTAGAGCCTGAGACAGACTGGGGCCAGGCAAGGTCTGTGTGCTGGGAAATGTGGAGGTTGCCGTGTTAGAGAGCTTCCAGGCCACCTGCGTCCGCTGGGCGGGCGAGCGGGAGGAGCGAGCACCTTCCCAGGCTGCGGCTCTCGTGCCCGAGGGGAGGGGCCGAAGACCCGGCACTTCCCAGCTTGTCCTCTGCGGGGTGTTGAGAAGGGGTCCTCCAAAGTGGCCGGGCCACAGCATCTGCTGGGAACTTGGTTTGGCCACTCTGGGGGCGGGGCCCGCGTTGTGTTTGCACCAGTCCAGAGAGGCGACTCTGAAGCTGGAAGTGCGAGAACCATTGCTTCGTAATATTCACGGGCAGCTGAATACTGTTCTTGCTCTTTGTGCCTAGCATTTGCCTGTCTTCAGCTGTATGATAGGGGAAAGTTTGAAGATTTCCAGATGAGACTTTGCCCAGAGTGACAAGAAAGTAGGGAGGTACACCTTTTTCTTTTTTCTTACTTACTAATCGATTTGAATATTAATCACTACACAAGTGACTAACATAAATATCACTTTTTTTTTTTTTTTTGGTGGTACTGGCCTACACCTTGAGCCACTCCACTAGCCCTTTTTTGTGATGGGTTTTTTTTTTTGGAAATAAGGTCTGTTAAACTATTTGCCTGGGCTGGCTTCAAACCGCAATCCTCGTGATCTCTGCCTCCTAATTATCTAGGATTACAGGCGTGAGCCACCGGTACCCTGCTTCTTTTTACTTTTAGTGCTTTATTTTTTAGAGTTAGGGCATTACAAGCATTTCTCATTTTTCAGTTCTGGCACAGCATTGCGGGAACCACAGCATTGCAAGCTCTAAGAACCACTTAGGTACACACAGTTACATCTGGTTAAAAACAGGAGTGCTGTGCACAAGCACTTCTCCAATTGTGAAGATTCATTTAGGAATGAACCCAGGAGAAAATTGTGTCTGTCTGTAGAATCAGTAGGAAACATTTTAACTGCAAGATTACATGCACTGCCCTGTGGGATGATTCTTAGTGATTTCGTCACATTCACCATTCAACTTTTGCAAAGTTCAGATCTAAACTTAGCATTTCATAGGTTAAATGAATGCAGAGTCACTAGAAAGAGAAATTCATTACTTGTGATAGATACCTGGGATGCTAAAACTGCTCTAAGTTTCTTCAGTATTTCAAAAGTTTCAAATGTACAGAAAATTAGGCAGAATTGTCCAGTGGTTGCCTAGATTAGATAAGTGCTCTTCAGTAGGACTTTCTGCAGTGATTGTTAATATACCTGTCACCCTTACTGTAGCCACTAGATGATTACTGACACTCAGTAGTTGAAATGTGGTCAGTGTGAGTGAGGAACTGAATTCTAAGTTCTTCATTGGATTTAAATTTGCATGGCCACATGTGATTAGTGGGTGCCATGTTTAACAGTTTGCATTCCTAGACCATCACTGACATTTTCCTGTACATTTTGCTTGGCTGGCAGAGTGACTCAAGCGGTAGAGTGCCTGCCTAGCAAGCATTAGGCCCTGAGTTCAAACTCAAGTACTGCCAAAAAGAAAAATTACCATTGTATATTTTGTTTTATCACATATCTGTTCATCCTTTATATCCAGCCTGATACAAATGTAAGAAAACTGGTTGAAGTCAGGAAAATATTCCCTACCTTCCCCCAGTGACTCACACTTACGGTATTCTAAGCATTTTTCTGTTTTTATATATGCATTTGTCAGAATGTAAAATAGTAGAAGTGGGATCTTTAATTTTTGTTGTTTTTTAGTACTGGGGAATGACCCAGGGCCTGGCACATGCTAAGCAAGTGCTACACCACTGAGCTAAACCCCAAACCCTAATAAAAGTTTTTATAGTACATTCTTTAAATTAGCTTGGTCAGCAAGTAGATATTCAGGTAACATTACCAATTTTTTGTATAGATATGTAGATCATGTAGTTCTCCCTGATTTATTTTTAAACCAAGTATCAACTCCCGTGTGTTTAGGAAGCCAGCTGTGCCCCAGATGGGCACCCAAGGAGAGAAATAATTAGAGGGAAGATCTGAAAATGGGTGGGGAGAAACTTTTCAGTATTGCCACCCACTTTTTAAGCATATACAACCTTGGCTCATAAGCATGAACTTCCATTTCAATCAGAGGTTCTCAGGGCAAGAAGTGTAGCCTGGCTCTGAACTTAGGATAGGAATTGTTTTGTGTGCTGGAGATTGAGAGGTTGAACCCAGGGTGCTAAGCATGCACTGTAGTGTTGTGCTATACCCACTGACCTCTGGAAAAAGATGTCACAGGTCTTGATTCCCTGGAAAATACAGTATGCTTATGTCTGCGCTTTGCTTTTTATAAACCCAATTTTACTAGGCAAGCGATGTATGTAAGTGCAGTAAATCATTAACAATATAGTGTATATTCACTACTGAAAGGCAGCTGCTGTAAAAATGTTTCTTAAAGTAGCATTGGAAGCTATTTCTGGGCTGTTAGAAGAACAGTAATCTATAGTTGACAGATTCTTTAGTATGGTAAGAGGAACTTCTGACTGGACATTGGACTCTTAAAACTCCCAAGTTTGTGGCTTATTGGATGGGTTGTTTTAGAGTTCGTTGGTTGTAACTCAAGTTCTGTCTAGATCAAGGTGGACCAGGAGAAAGCCCACTGGTTCTGAGGAATCACCAGGAGGAAAGCTTCCTGGGTTTCTAGTCTGGAAGTGTACCAAAGTCAGCTAAAGGTATTGTTCAGTGTGGGCCTTGTGTGGGATGCATCTTGCTCCACAAATTGTCCCTGGAGTTAGCCAGCCTCATAAATGTCAGTCTTAGTCTCTGCTTATTGGAAATGACAGAGTTATTGGAAATGACAGTGTCATCTAAGGATATGTTTTGAGAAATATGTTTTAGGTGATTTTATTGTTGAGCTGGCTATTCTATCAGTCAGCAATGTCGTGTTGGGGGACCATGTCACACCTATAGTATGTTGTTGACTGAATGTCATTATGTGCCACTTGACTTTATATTAATATGAATATTGCAGATCCAGTGTCAAGGAATATACTTATATTTTATGTTTATGAGTAATTCTCCTGTTTTCAAAGTTAAGAATACCACCTCAAGGAAAAAGTATTTGAGAGCAGTGTTTTACTCTAGGATGATAATGTCCATCTATGAAAAACTTAGGAAAATTTGAATAACAGATAACAAATTTCAGTTCTTGTGGTCATTGGTGAATAAGTCTTTTTTTTTTTTCTGGTATTGGGGTTGAACAAAGAGCCTAGCACTTGCTAGCAGGTGTGCTGCCACTTGAGTCTACTCCGTCAACCCTCTTGCTGATTATTTTTTTTTTTAGAGGTATTGAGGTTTGAATTGAGAGCTTCGTGCTTGCTAGACAGGCACTCTATCACTTGAGCCACTCCACCAGCCCTTATTATTTTTTGAGAGAGGGTCTTGCTTTATGCCCAGGCCATCCTGGACTGCCATCCTCCTGTTGGTGCTTCCTTATATAGCTGCAATGACAGGCACAACTCCTACATACGGCCATTGGTTGAGATGGGGGGGGGGGTCTCATGAACTTGTTGCTTGGGCCGACCTCGGATTGCCATCTTCCTGATCTCTGCCTCCTGAGTAGCTAGGATTACAGGCGTGAGCCACCATCCTGGCCTTGTGAACACATCTTGAAATAGTGCTTTCTTCTCTACAGAAAGCATGCCATCAGTAAATTTAAGTATTTAAATTTACAGAAGCATCATGCTGCAGATACCTGGAAGGGTCAGAGCAAGTTTGTTTATGAAAGCTGATCATGGGGAGATGCTTACAGCATTATAAATAAATGACCACAGTCACATATGTTAGTAATTTTCAATAAAAGCAGTAAATTCCAGAGAATCAAATGTTCTACTTTATAAAGCTCAGAAACAAATAAAACTAAAACAATATATTGTTTAGAGAGAGACACACAAGTAGTAAAACTAAAGAAAAGAAGGAAAGGATTAATAAATCAGTCTAGAGATTCCTTCTGAGGGGATGGAGTGAACTTTGACAGCCTCATACAGGTACCTCTGAGGCATGGGTAACATTCTAGATTTTAACTTAGTGGTAGGTACTTAAGGGTTAATCCTTAAACTCTATAATTTTGTATTATATGCTAATATGTGATAGATTTCACAATTAATTGGAAAAGGCATAGATTATTAAAAATTGGAATTGTAAATAAGAACATAAAAAGGCTGTAAAAAGTTAAATGTTTTTTGTGCTGTTTTAGGTGACAGTATAACAAAAATAATGGGAAAGGAAAAAAGAACTAAGTTTTTCTCAATTTGTAAAATACATAGCTGTCCACTTTATACATTTGTTTTACAGAACAGCATCAGAATTAATGTAACTACTCTGGAAGATGATGGGGAAGTATCTAAAGAACAGGTTTGTTTCCTTTTGATTGTTTTATATATCCTTTAGCCAAGTGTTGTGCAACTGATTTTTATCTACTGTATTAGTCCATTTTCTGTTATTACAGTGAAATACCCGAGGCACCCTATCTTATTAAAAAACATTTATTTAGCTTATAGTTATGGAGTGTTAGTGTGGCTCTGGTGAAGGCCTCATGGCAGATGGCACCACAGTGACAGGAGTGCATGGGAAAGCAAGAGATGACATTGCCAGATAGGAACCCAGAGAGACTGGGTCCCAAAGTTCCTTGGAGAGCATGTTCCCAGTGACTAAAGATCTCCCACTGGGCCCAATACCTCCCCCCACTGAGGACCAAGCCTCCAACACTTAAATCCTTGGGGGACAAATCCAAACCAAAGCACCTCCACATCTAATTTAGTAAGATAATGTGTTTTTCACACAAAAAGTTTGCATCATTTACAAACCATTGGAATTAATGTATATGCTGCTTTATTTTAAGGTTGTTCTTAACATAACCTATGAGAGTGGACAGGTATATGTAAATGACTTACCTGTAAATAGTGGTGTAACCCGAGTAAGCTGTCAGACTTTGATAGGTGAGTACTACTCAATCAAAATTTCCAAAATTTTTCTGTTTTTGGTAATACTAAATTAGTATTGAATGTTGTTTTTCCGTTTGTAAGTAATAATACATATCACTTGTATATGACACTAATGTGCTCAAAGCTTCATTCTTTACATTGATTATTGATGAAATACACATTTTTTTCCCATGAGACTGGCATTGGCAATGATGGAATTTCATGTCTGCTAGGTTGATATCAGTGTATAAATGTGCATAGAGCTGGGAAAGCAGGAGCCCAAATCTTGGGGTGGTAGTTTCTCAAATGTAAAAAAAAAGGAGAAAATTACTCTTTCGATTTTCTACTTTTCAGTTTCTTCTACACTTATGACAGTAGAACATTTTTTTTAACCTTTTAAAATCTTGAGTTGTTTAAAGATAAGCAGATGTTTTATTAGAATATGTCATATTGTTTGAAATAAGGAATATGACGACTGTCACTTATGCTATGCTTTGTCAGAAACAAGCGACTAAAGAGAGGGAGTTATACAAGGGCACAAATGCATGGAAAGGAAGCAAGCCTTTTTTTTTTTTTTTTTTTTTTTTTTTTGTGGTACTGGGATTTGAACTCAGTGGTTCCCACATGCTAGGCAGGCACTCTTATTACTTGAACCACTCCACCAGCCCTTTTTTGTGATGGATTTTTTTCCACATAAGGGTCTCTTGAACTATTTGTCCTGGCCGGCTTTGAACTGTGATCCTCCTGACCTCTGCCTCCAGAGTAGCTAGGTTCACAGGGGCCAGCCACCTGTGGCCAGCAGCCCCAGCACCACAAAACGTATAAAAATATGCAAAATTCTACTGAGATGGACCACAAGAGAAGGGCATTTTACAAGCATCAACGGATATAATGAGTTAAGCACACTAAAGGAGCAGCAGCCTAAGACAAAGAGCCTGAAGGAAGACCAGTCAACGTGCTACCAGGAAAGCTCGTGGGGATGCCCCAACAGTGTTTAATTGAACCTAAACAGAGTGAGATAAATCAGACACTGTTGTGTGAATGCTTTGTGGACATTAAAGAAGGGGAGAATGGCTAGGTAACTACTAGAATGCTAAGTGGCTAGTGAACTAGACATTGCGGTGTTCCAGACAAAAGACATAGCCCTGACAAGGCACAGAATGTTTAAACAGCTGGGCCTGCGTTTAGAATTACATCCGCTTGACAAACAGCCTTCAGATTATTTGAGTGACAACTAATAAATGCTCTTTTTGTGGCAGTTTCATTGCTCTGTGTTACTATATCTTCTTTTTTGGGGGACAGTGGGGGACATGAAGGGTTTGAGATAGGGTCTCACTGTGGAGCCCAGGCTGGCTTGGAACACTTTGATTCTTCTGCCTTGGCCTGGCAAGTGTTGGGAATTACAGGCATGCACCACCACACCCAACTGCTTTTATCTTTTTTTGTAGCACTTTCTACCTTAATAGAATAGCCATTGGTTCCATAAACAGCTGTAACTGGGGGAGCTGCTTCCTAGTTAGAGAGGAACATGACTAGGCCCTAATCCTACCCCGTTGCCATTTCATTACTAGAGAGTAATTACAGGCCTCTCTCATCCTCTTTCCTATTCTGCCTTCTCCAACATTAACAAGTCACCTACTGGGGAGATTAAAAAAGTGAAAACAAAACAAAAAAACCCACAACTTAGGTTTGGGTCCCTTCTGTTGCTAGATTTTGCAGGTGAATGGATGTGCTTATTTTGATAAAATATGGGATTGGCTGTCTGATGGCCTCTTTGTAGTTAGCTGTTGGCTTCTCATTATCAACCTGTGTGAAAGTATAGAAAAAGATATTGCCAGAATAGCATTTCATACAAAATCTGACCACCGTCCAGATTTCCCTCTTTCAGATGAGTGTAAGCATTGTAAGGCTTTGTCAGGTGATCTTTGTTTTTATAAATCTGTAACAAGTGTTAAGTTCAGGGATGAAGAAAGCCAATTAAACTGGTTTTCAACTGTCTCGTTCCATATAAATGTCACCAAAACAATCAGTAACAGATCTGGTGGCAATTTCTGTTCAAAGCTATCACTTTTTTTTTATAGTGAAAAATGAAAATTTGGAGGAAAAAGAGTATTTTGGAATTATCAGTGTGCGGATTTTAGTTCACAAGTGGCCTATGACATCTGGTTCCAGTTTGCAACTCATTGTCATTCAAGAAGAGGTAGTAGAGATTGATGGAAAACAAGTAAGATACTATGCTTGTTAACTGGGAATTCAGTTGTAAAGACTTCAATTTGTGCTGGGTATTCATGTATTCATTATTTGTTTCTGACGTGATAAGGAAAGGCCCCCTAATGGTGTTTCTCTCCAATCACTTTATAGAAATTAGGGAGGAAAATTCACTTTAAAATTTTCATGGTGCAGGGCTGTTACTTAAAATAAAAGGTACTTATTTTTTTCTTTCATAGGCTCAACAAAAGGATGTTATTGAAACTGATATTTTAGTTAAGAACCAGAGAATACTCAGACATTCACACTATCCCCTTCCTTTGGAAGAAAGCATGCTGTATTCTATTTCCCGAGATAGTGATATTTTGTTTACCCTTCCCAACCTCTCCAAAAAAGGTAATTTAAAAGACCATTATTTAAAATATTAAGGAAATTCTTTTTTTTCTTTTTGCAGTACTTACTGGGGTTTGAACCCTTGTGTACATAAGCTTTGTAATTTTTACATTATTTGTAAAACCTGCTATACATCTTTAATTATAGTCACTCTATTTGTAAATAAGCTTCTTTAAAAAAATACATCAGAAGCTGGTGTGTAGCTCAGTGGTAGAACACTTGCTTAGTACAATCCGAGGTAGGGCCTGGGTAGAATGTGATTAAGACTGGTTACATAGTGACATTTTCTAGTAATTGTCTACTCATTTGCTGGGAACACATTACAACATATATAATGCAAATATTTTAAAGGTTCATTTAGAAGTACCCATTTTCTATTGAAACAGAGCTATTAAATTTTAGACCATGTGACAAATCATAACTTGTGTAACTAGGAGTGTAGACTTTTTTTTTTCCGCAGTACTAGAGTTTGAACTCAGGGCCTTGCATTTGCTGGGCGGGCACTCTATCACTTGAGCTATATCTATGGCCCTATAGATGCTTTTGATAGTTCTGTATATTGTCTCTCTGGTGCTTAAGTCAGTGAACAATAAAATATTTTAATTTTTTTCCTCCCATGGTGAAATACACTATCCTAAACTTAATTGGTTTAGTAACCTTGAGACACCAGCATGCTACAGCATTTTGGTAACTTTGTTCTTTCTCCTTAGTGGAAAGTGTTAGTTTGTTGCAGACCACCAGCCAGTATCTTATCAGGAATGTGGAAACCACCTTAGATGAAGATGCTTTACCTGGAAAATTGCCTGAAACTCCTCTCAGAGCAGAGCCTCCATCCTCATACAAGGTAAATCAAGTATTTGGTGTTATCTTTATTTGGTGTTATAAGCATTTATGGTAGAAAATAGATGACAGCAGCACTTAAAATGAGGTGGAAATCATGATTATTGTTGTGGTTTTAATGTGATATATTTTGGTATTCCTATTTCTATAAGCTCCACTCAGTAATTATATAGTGAGATCATGTATCAAGGCCCTGAATCTCATTTGATTGTGAATCATCAGTTTCCAGATTCTTTTATTTCCACTTCTCTTTATGTGCACACACAGATACATGTGCCCTCAGGATCTCACAGTGATTAGCACAGATGGCTAAGAATATATTTTGAAGTCACACTGCCTCGGTTTAAAACCTGCACTGTCTTTTACTAGTTGTGTGACTTTATGCTAATTCTTAACTTCTCTAACCTGTTAAACTATGATTAATCTGTAAAGCACTTAAGGTGTTATAAGGATTAAATAAGATGGATATTACATACAAACATGCATTGGCACCTACTAAGTACTCATATAATACCCCTGACCTTTATACTACTGACTAGGAAGATGTGGTTCAGAGAATATCTTGATATCTCCAGGTATTTAAAGGGCAGGCCTTGTTACCCCGAATTATTTTCATTTAAATGAGTAGGGCCTATGGTCCATCTAGAGGAAGTTCTCAATGAAGGTCAGAATTATTTATTTGGGATTGCTAGAGAAATCCAGGTTATTTTGGCAGTCACCTGTCTAATCCCCACTCTCCCTCCCCAGACTATCTTTGTCTTCATAGACCATGCCATCAGTGTCCACCTTAGGTCCTTTTGCTGTTGAAACACAGAAACATTTTGTACACAGTGAACCTCCCGCCCTGCTCTAAAAGCTACTGTTAAGTTTGTCTTTCTCTCCTATCCCTTGTCTTCCATCTACTTGAAACAGTTGACTATGGACCATTTTGTTTATAGTGGGCAAATCTAACTAATCTCATCAATTAGCATTTACTTTCACTTGATTTGTAGGTAGACAACAGTATAAATAATTTTTGTGCCTGTATTTTTGGCGAATAATAATTTTTTTTTTTTTTTTTTTTGGTGGTAAGGGGTTTGAACTCAGGGCTTCATGTAAAGATAGCAACTAACTTCATTATACTTTTTTCCCATTAAGGTACATTTTAAAATAAAATGCACCTGTTTAAAATATACAGCTTCCCCCCCCCCACCCCGCCACAGTGCTAGGGACCTCACAACTATAAGGTATTCTACCACTGAGCTATATACCCCTACCCCTAAAATATAAGTTAGTTTTGACATGTGTGTAACAACTACCACATTAAAGATGCAGAATATTTTCATCATTCCAAAACTAAAATGTTAAAAGAGATTTAAAGTTTATGGAACTTGCATACCTAATCAAAACTCCTTTTTCAGGTAATGTGTCAATGGATGGAAAAGTTCAGAAAAGATCTGTGTAGGTTCTGGAGCAGTATTGTCCCAGTGTTCTTCATGTTTTTGAACGTCATAGTGGTTGGAATCCTAGGAGCAGCTGGGGTCATAACCATCTTAAAGGTGCTTTTCCCAGTTTCCACATACAAGTAGGTATTTCTTATTTTTGAAATGTTAGTATTTTAAATTAAAACATGAATTATATTTACTATATTTTACAGTAGAATGTATAAAATTTAGGGTAAAACAAGTGGGAGGTAAAATAACACCTATACCTATTTTTTTTCTACCATATCTTCCAATTTTGACAAATTCAGAATATATTTATTGAATACCTATTGTGATCAAAATACTTTTAGAGATTCAACTTTGAATATGACAGGCTCTGCTCTCCCAAGTCTATTTGGGAGAAAAAGGAAACATAGGGAGAAAAAAGGAAATTAATAAAAACAGCCACTAATGCCTCACACCTATAATCCTAGCTACTGGGGAGGCTGATGGTTTAAGGCCAATCCAGGCAAAAGCATTTAACCTTGGGTATAACTATAAACTTGAAGAAACCCTATCTTAGACTGAACTATTGTTGGACAAAGAAATATTTAATTTTGATAATAATTATCTTATTTCAGGGGAATTCTTCAGGTGGATAAAGTAAATGTCATACCTGTGACAACCATCAACTTATATCCAGATGGCGCTAAGAAAACACCAGAAAACCTTTAATATAAAACACGTATTTAAAACATCATCTCAAATCATGGATTCTGAATTTATTGTCTCCAAACTTGCCACCTGAATGTAATTTTCTTAAAATCATTCAGAATCAGTTTATGCATAGAAAAATTGCCAAAGTCCCAAGACTGCCTGAAAATTGATCTTCACAGTGCCAAGTTAAAATTCATCTTATTCCATAAAAGGGAATGAATTGTTAAAGAAAATTAATGTGGAAGAGAAGACATGAAGAGATTTTGAAATTACCAAAAAGAGAGGAAAAAAAAAAGAAAGGTGAGACAGAATGGCAATGGCAAGTGCCAATAACCTTTCAAGGTGCCTTTGCTAAGGAAATTATATCCACTTAATTATTATAATATATAACATTTTATAAAAAAGCACTTTATGAAATTCTAATTTAAAAGCTCAAGAATTTAACACTTATTTTTTTATTCAGTACACGTGCCTTTATTAAGTATGTGACTCAGTATAAAATTACTGAAGTGTATCATGATTTGATTGTGTCCTGTACCAAGACTACTTACCTTGAATGCACCAGGATTTAAAAGCAGTAGTGACGTGTTCTCACTCTAAAATAAATTTTTTTAAGGAAAAAAAAAATGTTTTGGTTACAATTACATAAAACCTTTGCTCAGGTGAAAATCACCTATCGGTACAGAGTAGTATAGCTTCTTTCAAGTCACATTGGCTGAAACCAAGGCTCAAATCAGACAAGACAATTAGCTTTATCATGGAATTAGAGTGTACCATTGATCTTGTGGTTTTAAGTGTAGCACCGTTTACCCTACAAGAGTTTTTTTGTCCTTTTCATTCATTTGCTCCTACAAGTGTTTTACTTTTTTTTAAACAATCATTCATGTTGACATATTTTAACAGTGTGACCTAGTACATATAAGGTATCTTTACTATGTAGTATTTTCTGTTCTATTTCATTACAGTTTTTGAGCTGGCCACAATGTAATCTTAGCACTCAGGCTGAGGCAGGAGGATCAAGAGTTTGAGGCCATGACTGGGGGTATGGTAGAAGTCATGCCTAGCAAGTGCAGGGCCAGCAAAAAAAACAAACAAAAAAAGAGTTTGAGGGCACTGTGAACTACTTAAAAAAAGCAAACAAAACAAAACCATTTTTGATTATAACATTGTTTTATAAACATTATCCAAGCAGTACTGGTTGGGTTTTAAAACAGTTATCTTTAGGCTAAATAGGTAACACATATGAAGAGGAAGGATGCTAAGTTTGAGAATGAAGGGATGCTACTTCATTTTGCCTTGTTGGTTGTGTTAGTACATTTCACAGTGCTATTCCTAGCTCCACACTGTAAAGAATAAACAATGGCATGCAGCTGGGCCTCACAAGTTCTCACACTTTTGTTGAAAAATGATTGAATGCAATTTATAATTTGATCCTAAAGTCACCAGCAGTAGTACTTTCTTTATGCCCTTCGTTCTGTATGTTGTTAGAAAACACTAGTTCTAACATTAGTCGTAAGTGATACATTCTAGTAAGAAGAAACATTGAGGAGACCACATGATCTATAGAGGATAGCTCAGCAGTCAGCAGATTCCTATCCTGGCTACTTTCATTCCTAGTAAGACTTGGACCACAGCAAGGTACTGGTCTCTTTGAGTCTCTTTTCTCTTCTGTGGCTGGTCTGAAACAAGTTTTTTTTCTTGTAAGTAATCATAAATGGAAATCTTACCCCCCAGTTTTATACCGCTTACTTTTATTTCATTTCCTAATTTTTACTATTTGAGGGGTGGTGATGGTACTGGGGTTTGAACTCAGGGCCCTTGTACTTGCTAGGCAGACAATCTACCAATTGAGTCACACCCCCAGGCATTTAACAAATTTATATACCATTAGCTTTAGTTTTATGTTTACTATCATGAGTGAATGAATTCAACTAGATTATAGTAAACTGTACAGCCTTAGACATTCCTAAGTGCACATAGCATGGCCTGTTAATGTAGACAGAATAAAGTTATTCAGAAAGACTGTACTTGTTTTTCCTTCTTTAAATTCACAACTCTCCCAAAAAAAAGGAGAGAAGCTACCATGATACCTTGCGGGAAGGAAGGCACACTGGGACTGATGTATGCTTTAATTAGCTACTTGTGTGAAAAATGTTTAGTACTTTTCAATTATCTACTGCCATCAAAGGAGCTTGTGCCAGTTCTTACTCTTTTCCATAGAAAGAACCATAGCAGCAGACAGTGGGAGAGAAGATGCTGTGCTTAAAAATACATAAGACGGCTGTCCCACTGAAGGATAACATTTGTTATAATGTCTGTCTTCAGTGCTAAAGTAAAACAAATTTGCAGCTTAAAAAATTGCCTTTATTCAGAATCATAAGAAATTTTAAAATCTTACCATTATGAAAGTTTAAAAAAATATAGCACTCAGTGCAATGAAATGCTACATTTAATTATTGTTTCCAAGACTTAAGGCAGATTTGTCATGGTTTGCATGTGAGAAGTCAACATGATCCAAATTCAAATATCCACTTCTCGTATCGCTCAATGTCTGCTGCAGACACTGACTTAGAAACCTTCTTCAAAGCCATCTCAAAATCCTCCATCGTCGTAGGCATGTGCATTTCTTCTCTGGAAAGATTCCGGATCTCTTCTGGGGTCAGACCCTCAATGCGCCTTCTCATTGCCATCAAGGATGCATCCCTGGGTTTTAAGTTAAAAGACACAAAATTTATTTAGATTGAATAATTTTTCAATGAATGTATCTGTAACATTCTCTAATTAGGATCTTATCATAGGCCAGGCAAGATGGCACAAGCCTGTCATCCCAGCACTCAGGAAACTGAGGAAGCAGGATCACAAGTTCAAGACCAACCTAGCTACATAGGGAGACCCTGTCTCAAAATAAAAATCTTACTACAAGCCAGGTGCTGGTGGCTCACACCTGTAATCTTAGCTACTTGGGAGGCAGAGATCAGGAGGATCATGGTTCGAAGCCAGCCCAGGCATAGTTCAAGAGACCCTATCTCGAAAGATACATCACAAAAAAGGGCTAGGGAAGTGACTCAAGGTGAAGGCCCTGAGTTCAAGCCTCAGTACTGAGAAAAAAAAAAAAGTATAATATTGCACTGGATCTTACAGTGGATTAGGAGGCCTATTTTAAGTTTTTAGCAATTAAATCTTCCATGATGAAATAAGGATTCTAATTCTAATTACTTAAACTGTTAAGTAATTAATAGTGAACATAAAGTTCAAGAAGAAAATTAAAAGGTATAATAAAGAAGCTAGCAACTGTATTTCAGTGTTAAAAAAGCATAAAAATAAGTATCAGAGACAGAAGACAATGTGTTAGCTAGAAAGTTAAGTATTTTCTCCACATAAAAGACAGGTAAATGGCCAGGCATGATAGTATATCCTATAATCCCAGCGACACAAGAGGCAGATATGGGAGAATCCCTATTTGAGGCCAGGCCAGGCAAAACAGCTAGTGAGACCCTGTCTTAAGACACCAGCTGGGGGCTGGCAGAGTTGTTCAAGTGGTAGAGCGTCTGCCTAGCAAGCATGAGGCCCTGAGTTCAAGCCCCAGTACTGCCAAAAAAATAAAATAAAATAAACAAACCCACAATCTGGGCATGGCAGTGCATGCTTATAATCCCAAGTACAAGGACATGGAATGGAGGTAGGAGGAACTCAGTCAAAGGCTGGCCCTGGTCAAAAAGAGTAGGAGTCCATTTCTGAAAAATTAGCTGAAAAAGCAAAAGGACAGCTGAAGTGGTAGGGTATTTGTTTAGCAATCTCCAGGACCACAAAAAAAAAAAAAAAAAATCAGCAAGTTAGGTAGTTTCTTTTTCCCTCTATTAGCAATATTTCACATTCAAGTACCTCTTCCCTTTTACCAAGTCTCATCCTTAATCGCAGTCACCATGTATGCAAAGGAACAGCAGTTTAGCTGCTTTATGTGCACATATTATCCATCTGCGGCCTTCAAAACCCTGAGTGCAGTGCTCACTGTAGAGATGAGGAAGCTGGTGCTAATAAGCTTCTGAGCAAAGCCTTGGTTTATGCCAAAACAGTTGAATTGGCTTCATCGGAGACAGTCTTTCTTCTCACCATCACATTTTTTAATTCCCATCACATTTAGGATATGGTCACTAAAAACACAACTGCACCACTGTTACTCCATGGTAACACTAAATCATTTTTCACAATCATTTCCTATATAACAATATAGTGAAGAACTATATTATATTATATTAAAGTGTAACTTTAAATTCAAGACAATTACTCATTTTCTCTTTTATCCAAATTATGCTAACATCAGTTTTTTGAACTTGCAGATTTCATATGAATTATAGACTCTTCACTCACATACAAAATAACCCAAAGACACTAGTAGCTGCTAACACTAACTGAAACCAAAACTTACAATCCTGATCGAAAGACTGCAAAATGTAGGTCTTTATTCTTCATCTGTCTTTTTATTTATTTTGAGAAAAGGTCTTGGCTGTGTAGCCACTCTGGCACTGAACTCATGATCCTCCTGCCTCAGTTTCCTGTGTGCTGGGTTATAGACGTGCCACCACACCCAGCTTATTAATACATACCTGCATACATTGGTAATGTCGGCACCTGAATAACCTTCCATGTTTTCTGCTATACTTGCAAGGTTAACATCATCAGCCAGTTCCAGCTCACGCAGACTTATACGTAATAGCTCTTCCCTGCCTTTTGCTAAAACAGAAACACATTTTAAAATGTAAGCCTTCAATATAAACACAGTATGTTTTTTTCTCAAGCCTACTTTGTGTAAGGAGTTGTTTTCCAATTCTTAGCATTCATTTGCCTAAATTATCAAAAGTGATTCCTCAGTAAACTTTTAATTTCCTACTCATCAAGGCTTCCAGCCTGTAGATATAGCCAAACTAAATTAACACAAGGAAAGACAGCCTATATTTATCTTTCCAAGGAAGGTTAATACCACATTTTAAATTAAGCAGAACTACCTAAGAGTTAACAGGAGCTTTCAGACAAGATTGAAATGATGATACCTGATGGTAAAGGAATATAGATTCGTTTTTCAAGACGTCGTCTTAAAGCCTCATCTATATCCCAGGGAAAATTAGTAGCTGCTAGAACCATAACCATTTTGGAAGGGTCATCATTTTCAGAGGCACCTCCAACACCTAAAAGGGTAAGAAGACAGTAAAAACATACTAAGCTGGACTGTACAAAATAAATCTCAGCCAAATACTCAGCACAACAAAACAAGGTAGTGTAGTCTTCA